GTCCAGAGAATAATCCATCATTTGGGTGCATTCAGTCTGCAAAATCTGGAAAGTGTTCCCAGAAAATGTCAAGATTTCGAATGAATCCTCTGAATTAAATTCAGAATGAATTTCAGTCTGTCTGCAACTGAATGACTGAAATCTGTAACTGAATGATGGAAATACGCAACTGAAAGTTTAATTACAATGATAATTAGACAAAATTGGCAGCTGTCTGCTTATAAATATGCTCCAGCCCAATTTGCACAATTCAGTTTTACTGAATTTGCAGGCAGACAATTTTGCCATTCTAAATGAGGATAACATTACAATATGCTGCAATTAGTGCCATATTGATCATGCTCTCCTTCTACAAACTCTTCAATCACTCGGTCTCTGTGACTCTGTCCTCTCATGGTTTTCCTCTTATCTCTTCCAACGCTCATTCAGTGTCCCCTTTTCTAATCATACCTCCTCCCCTTGTCCTGTCTCGGCTGTAGTCCCCCAAGGCCATCGTGGTCCCCTTCTATTTTCTCTTTATTACAATAGAATGAAAAAATGTAGCACTTATACTGACAAAAAAATCCAAGAGTAATAATTACCTTTAAAATTGTCAGTTTTGTAGGAAACACTTGGATAATACCATAGGTATCTATAAGTAACAATAAAACATAGTGCAAATTATATAGAGCAAAAGTATTTATATATAAATAATGTGTATTATAAACTCACAAACGGAGAGCTATGAACCTAGCTCTGGTGTAAATAACATCCGGGTCCATATAGGCGATCCACCCCTACATAGAAACATAGAATGTGACGGTAGATAAGAAACGTTTGGCCCATCTAGTCTGCCTAATTTTTTAAATACTTTCATTAGTCCCTGGCCTTATCTTATAGTTAGGATAGCCTTAGGCATATCCCTATACTAAAATGTAGCTTCCTCAGCCGGATACAATGTTGAACATTGTATCCGGCTGAGGAAATTACATTTTAAATAGTGAAACGCGTTCTGGTATAACTTTTGGACATTGTTCCATTTTTATTTCTGAAGTTGATTAATAAATTGTTTAAATTTTATCCTGGTTCCCAGTTTATATTCCTACTTACTGCTTATCCAGGGAGTACAGTCCCTAACTTAGTGCCATATTGATCATGCTCTCCTTCTTCAAACTCTTCAATCACTTGGTCTCTGTGACTTTGTCCTCTCATGGTTTTCCTCTTATCTCTCCTAACGCTCATTCTGTGTCCCCTTTTCTAATCATACCCCCTCCCCTCGTCCTGTCTCGGCTGGAGTCCCCCAAGGCTCTGTCCTTAGTCCCCTTCTATTTTCTCTTTATTACAATAGAATGACAAAATGTTGCACTTATACAGAAAAAAAAAATCCAAGAGTAATAATCACCTTTAAAATTGATATCAGTATTGTAGGTAACATTTGGATAATACCATAGGTACCTTTAAGTAGCAATAAAACATAGTGCAAATTATATAGAGCAAAAGTATTTATATATCAATAATGTGTATTATAAACTCACAAATGGAGAGCTATGAACCTAGCTCTGGTGCAAATAACGTCCTGGTCTGTATACGCGATCTTCAATCGTTCCTGTAAGTTTTCTTGTAATTGTCCTATTTATAGTTAAATCCCCCCTCTCATAAGATTGTAAAGTGCTGCAGAATCTGTGGGTGCTATATAAATGGCAATAATAATAATAATAATAATAATAATAAAAATAGGAGTGGGGTTTGGCATTTTAATGATTCTCTTCTGGGAGATGCCTCAGTGAAAGATAAGATGAAGAGGTCACTAGAGGAATACTTGAATAACACAACTCAGTAGCTTTGCTCCTCTTCTTGAGTTGTGCTTCAAAGATGTTGTTTACAGCAGACAGATACTCCAAGGAATCCATGTATAAAGTGGAATTATGAGTAGTGAGAGCATTATTAAAATGAGATTTCTGTGGGAAAAACAAGTCTTATAGCTTTTTCTATGTTTTTTTTAAGTTCTGACAAGATTCATTTTGTGTTGAGCACTACACCTTGCTCTTTCAGATGCTCCTTTGGAGGTGCCCCAAATCCCCGTTTTCAATACACAATGATACAGGGTGTTATCACATATGCAAGGTGTTTCTCAAAACCAGTCACAATTTGATAATGATAATAAAAGTCCTCTATGCTGGCAGTGTGGGAAAAATGGTTAATCTCTCCCACAGTTTTGCCAGGTTTTACAAACCTTTTGGTCTAATGTCCAAACACTGACTACCAGCTGTTCATCTCCAAGTCTCTCCAATTTATTGTGATGATTAATGGACATCCCCTGTATGGTGCATCTGTGTTGCCTTTGACTTGTGCAAAATGTCATACATATCAGAAAAAGCTAATGGCATTACTTCTAATTAATCATAAATTCATCTAATGCTAAGTACATATTGTTTTATTGGTTTCCATTAATAGCATTAATGTGGTGTATGGTACTCAAGATGGGTTCTTCTGTTGGTATCTCCCCCATGGAATGTATTTTTATTTCTATGTGTCTCTCCAAGTTCAACACTCTCAAGTTCTTGTATATATTTCTAGCTCCAGGCATCGCTTGAGTGTTTCTCCAGCCCTGCTCTACACCTTGCTTTCCTCTCTAGTATTCTTCCCATATGCCCTGTGTTTCTCTTAAACCCTGTTCACCTCCTTCTGGATCTCTCTAGCCCCCTGACTCCCTGGTGTGACTTTCCAGGTATGCAGTATGAATGGCTAGAGAAGAAGGCTGTAATTTCATTCATATCTCTGGCTAGTCCACCTATTCTGGAAGCCACTATGACCTACAGTCAGTGGTGTATCCTAGTTTTGTGCTGCCCTAGGCAGGACAAAACTCAGGCGCCCCCCTCCCCCCCGCGCCACCCAAACCCAACCCTTCCCCCCGCCCCACCTTCTAAATACACACACAGTCAGACACAAACACACACACACACAGTCAGACACATACACAAACACACACACAGTCAGACACAAACACATACACACACAGACACATACACAAACACACACACAGTCAGACACAAACACATACACACACAGTCAGACACATACACAGACAAACACAGTCAGACACAAAACACACACACAGTCAGACACACACACACACAGTCAGACACACACACACACACAGTCAGACACAAACACACACACAGTCAGACACAAACACACACACAGTCAGACACAAACACACAAACACATACACACAGTCAGACACACACACAGTCAGACACAAACACAGTCAGACACACACACAGTCAGACACACACACACAGTCAGACACAAACACACACACAGTCAGACGCAAACACACACGCACAGACACAAACACAACACAGTCAGACACACACATACACAGACACAAACACACACACAGTCAGACACAAACACACACACAGTCAGACACACACAGTCAGACACAAACACACACACAGTCAGACACAAACACACACACAGTCAGACACAAATACACAGACACACACAACAGTCAGACACAAACACACACACAGTCAGACACATACACACACACACAAACACACACACAGTCAGACACAAACACACACATTAACTTTTTTTTAATTTAAATCCCCCCCCCAACCTCCTTACCTTTGGGAGTGCTGGGGGGGTCTCTCTCCCTGGTGGTCCAGTGGCTGCAGGGCGGGGCGGCGCTGGCAGGCGGGCGGCCGGCGAGGGAGCACTTCCCATGAGCTGACTGCTCAGCTCCCTCGCGCGTCGGCTGCAGAGTGAGGCTGGGAACCGGAAGATGACGTCATCTTCCGGCTCCCAGCCTCACTTTGCGGTGCGCGAGGGAGCTGAGCAGACAGCTCAAGGAAGTGCTCCCTCGCCGGCCGCGGGATGTCAGTTAGCCGCAAGGCTAACAAGGCATCTGCCCTGGGCATTTGGGGGGCGGCGTTTTTTGCCGCCCCCTGAAAAATGCCGCCCAAGGCAAATGCCTTGTTTGCCTCGCAGCTAATACGTCCCTGCCTACAGTGACATCCACTAATGCAGTTCTGCTCAGCTGCACGTCACTAAATGAAGGTCCAGGGAGTAGTTGCAATGTATAACTCATTTCAGCTTTTACCCATATTAGAATTAGGGATTATTCTAGCCTTGATGAAGGAATAATCAAAATTTTATTAAAGACAGAAGGCGAATATTTGCTTTACCTTCTTTACTGAAAGAAATAGTTAACATAACTTTTCAGAAATTATAATAAAAACAACCAATCAGAACAAAGAACAGTAGAACAAAACACTCAGGCAGGAGAGCATGAAATACAACTGAGCCAATCTGTAGCAGGCACAATCAAATGAGAAACCACCAGAACCAAAAGAAATCCCGATTACACTGCAAGGAAAAAGAAACACATTGTGAAAGTAAACTGCCAAGGCAGATTGTCATGCAAAACACATTATTATTTTTATTATTATTATTTTATTATTTGTATAGTGCCATCAGATTCCGTAGCGCTGTACAAAGGGTGTACTAACAGACATTTAATTGTAACCAGACAACTCGATGTACAGTAACAGAGAGGTGGAGGGCCCTGCTCAATGAGCTTGCATTCTAGAGTGAGTGGTGTATTGCAGCACAAAGGGTAAAAGTAGTGGTACATTAGTACTGCAGTACGTTAAGACATAATGAATAAACTCATCAGCAACTAGCATTAAATCACAGTAAAATTCAACCAAACACATGACAGAAATATTACAAAATCACAACAAATACCCCCAAAATAACCCACAATCCAGGGAGGGAAACATAAAACAAAACCAGGGGGGAAATATTTGCCTCCTGTTTTTAATACAACTTAAATTATTCCTTCACCAAGGATAGAATAATCCCGAATTTTATGGCAAGACAGGAGGTTTCATATTTGCCATTTCAACGCCCAGACATAAACGCAGAAGAAACACTGGAGCGTGAACGAAAATAAAATGCATGAAAAGTCAACTCCATAGACCAATCTGCGGCTCGGAGAAAATCCGTAAGGGACCCACTGGATACCAGAGTCAACAATACTGCAGTGCATTGAAGGATCTCTCTATGCCTGTAGAGATCCTTCAGTGCACTGCAGTATTGTTGACTCTGGTATCCAGTGGGTCCCTTACGGATTTGCTAGAGACTGCACATATAAAATCAATAGCCACCCACGGGCAGAGAAATTAAGAGACCAAGTCACGGTGATATAGATCTGTAGACAACGAGCCACCCAGAGATGTGGCCCATCTGTAAAATAAGAGTATGACACAGACAAAGAAATAAACTTTGTTGTGCGAGATACTGAAAAATTAAACATCGTCAGGGGAGATAGAAAAAAACTTCCAAGTTAACAGTGCAAATATCTGAGAGCGATGGGAAGACACGAAACAAAGGAGAAAAAACAGCTTAGATGAAAGCTGACGAGGAGATCAATCTCCGTTAGTCAGTTTAGCGGGTAATTTGCCCTTATGCATGAGGGCGCCTTAGCCTGTCCAGGGACGCTGGCATGCGGAGCTTGTCCCCAAGAGGTGGAGAAAACCATCTGAGTTAGAGCCACTAGAGCCAGGGGCGAAAGGAATAGGTCAACCCCATAGAAGGCAGCAAGCGCCTTAGGTAGGGAGTCCATGAAAGCCTGGGGGCCTTTAGGCACACAAAGGCTGAGACATCGGCCATAGTAAAAACAGAGAAAAAAAGTATAGGTCAGTGAGGTAGAGGGTGCATGGCCGGCTGGGGGTCACCCAGAGTGCAAGAGGGGGTCACCCAACAAGTACTATAGCTTAAAGCAGAGCAGCCCAATAGAGAGGGGGTCACCCTCTGTCTGATGGAAATATTTGTGAATGAGAAGATGGCTGGCTCTGAGTGATCAGACAGCTGGTCATGAGTGACAGGATGGCTAGCTGTGAGTGACAGGATGGCGTATCTGTGGTCGGATGCGAGTGACAGGATGGCTGGATGTGAGTGACAGGATGACTCCTTGCAGCTGGCTGTCAGTAATAGGAATTATCAGCTGAAACACATCACCCATCATGGCGCGGAGAGGGCTGGGTGGGTCTGGCACTAGACATTGTAAGACCGTGAAGTCAGTAATAAGGGGCCTGAACACCAGGCATACATAGATGTATCACTCTGCAACATACAGTCTCCCACCTCCCAGGGAGGGAGCTGGAACACACAAAACAAACACTTCAGTTTAGTAGGTAGTAATGCAAACAAACAGTGAGGGACAGCAGCACACTCATGTCTACAGAATACATACTGTGTTGTGTTCACATAAAAACCTGCAAGAGAGAGGAGGAAAGGAGGGCCAGCAACACAGCCAGTAGAACCCCATGCAGCACTGCAAGTGCGGCCTAACAGCCGAGATGCAAAGCGAGCGCATGGGAGCCCCGTGGCTCCAACAAAATGGCCGCTGCGGTAACATGCTGCAGCCTATTGCGGCAAATGCAGCCGCTTGATGTAAAGCCTACGCCGACCAGGAGAGCACACAGGACGCGGGCAGGTAAAAACATGGCGCCGATGCTGAAATCTATGCGGGGGAAGGGGCGCACGGGAGAGCGGACAGGGGAAAAAGGCTGCAACTGTGGCAATATACCAGGGGAGACCAGAGCAGGGGAAAACCTATAAAGTCATCCACACTAGCCCCAAGGGCCCCACACAAAACTAGATGGTAGATAAACAACCAAATATACTAGACTAAACACAACAGACATCAAGGCAAAATGCAGCCTTTATTTCAACATGGAAAATAAAGTAATAAACACTCTCTGAGACACACTCTCTGAGTTGGGGAAAGCACATAATGCACACAGTCCAAGAACACCACACAAAACTAGATTAAATAAATAACCAAACATACTAATTAAATGCAGCTAAGAAATCAAGGAAAACATGCAGCATATAGTAATACATGAACAATAAAGCAATAAAAAGCCCAGAGCAGACACACTCTCTGAGTTGGGAAGTGCTAACCTGGAGGCAGCGGCAAAGAAAGAGGAAGTGGGAGGGTCTGCCTGAGTTTTTTGTTCTACTGTTCTTTGTTCTGATTGGTTGTTTCTGAAAAGTTATGTTAACTATTTATTTGCTACTGGAGGTTTCAGTAAAGAAGGTAAAGCAAATAGGAAGCCTTCTGTCTTGCCATAAAATTCCCAATCATCTCCACTCTCCCCAAGTAGCCATTGTTGTAGTGATGAAATCAGACATGTTGGAATCAGACAATGAATCACAATATGTGGAATTGCTGAGAACATTGTAAAAAAAACAACCTAAAAACTGTTCATAGATACAGCTGGATATACATGATACCAGGCATTCTAACTCTCTTCACCTCTCACTGACAATTCCTATCATATTCCAATATAACTTAACTGTGGTGAGTACACTAATCTTCAGATTTCAGCAGATAAAAAGCAGTAATAGAGTATTTTTTATTGAAAGTGTGCATCTGAAACTCAGTGTCTGCCACGGGACAAACAACAATTCTAAGTCAGCCAAATTGAGAACATTAGGTATAATCATAAGGAGAATCATATATTGGTTTTGACATCGACTTGCTATCCCTTCAATGAAGACAATTTTAAAGAGTAACACCAGACTGAACTTCCAGCTTTATAGAATAATATTTCAAACTTACTGGAAATTTTTGAGTTTAACCAGAAAATACATTTACTTATTTTTTTTTTTCAAAAATTTATCCATATTAGATTACTTACAGTACATATCTTAATACATTCCCACAAGTCAAGATCCTACTTTCATTGAAACTGTAGATGCTTAAATGCACTTGGCGTAAAAGACTCAAAGATTATTTAATTCAGATGTATATTATCATTATTATTCTTGAAACAACCAGGGATCTTACTGAGAAAAAAAAATACATTACGCTACTTAAGAAAGAATGTCAGGTGCATTATAAATTACTACATTTCAGTACAATGTACATTTCTGTAGAGCAAATTCAATAGATCAAATTACTGTGAACACTTAAGTGCACCTTAGTCTATGGATTGACTCTTTTACCAATATTTTATATTTTGAAGTAAATAATTAGTTTTCCACTTAGACCTTACTAAAAGACTATTCGTGCATAAAATGCACCTTTTCAGAAATGGTTTTGTTTGCTTTTTCATATTAATTGTGTTTTGAATCTTATATACAATTTAACATAAGTTAAAAACTTCTCTTCAATGGTGAGGCTATTCCTCCATTTCTGCTAAATGCCATAATTAAAATGTTAATCCATAATTTTAATGCATCGCATAGATAATGCAAAAAAAATAAATAAACAATATGTACCTTATCAAACCCTGAGGTTGCATGCTTGAGAGAGGTAGTTCGCAGAGGGGCAGGCCCTCCTTTATCAAAAAGAGGCTCCACCAATCAAGAGCCTTACCTTCTGATCTATGATATATGATCTTTTTTTTTATAAATCCCTGTTCAGGGGGTCTTAATGGGATAAGTAGTTTATCCACTAGCATTTTCACTGAACACATAGGTTTGAATTGATAGAGTATATACTATGGAATATGCTCACACTGTTCACAGTGTGATTTTGGCTATGTAGCCATGTTGCCCTCTATAGTAATTCTTATAACTGGATAACAATTGGGGATCTTTGCTGGAACAATAAACAGCCCAGAGCAGTCACACTCTCTGAGTTGGGAAGTGCTAACCTGCAGGTAGCGGCAAAGAAAGAGGAAGTGGGAGGGTCTGCCTGAGTTTTTTTGTTCTACTGTTCTTTGTTCTGATGGGTTGTTTCTGAAAAGTTATGTTAACTATTTATTTGCTACTGGAGGTTTCAGTAAAGAAGGTAAAGCAAATAGGAAGCCTCCTGTCTTGCCATAAAATTCCCAGTCATCTCCCCTCTCCCCAAGTAGCCATTGTTGTAGTGATGAAATCAGACTATCCCACTTACAGACAAAGTGGAGGAAGGGGCTATTTGTCAAGGTCTTGACAATTTAACTGTCGGTATTGCATTCCAATTTGTGTTTATTATTGCTTTTAAAGGGATACTATAGTGTAAGGAATACAATAGCTGTATGCCTTACACTATACTTATCTCTTTGGACACACTTGAACACTTTTTCTGTGTTTTAAAATTGCTTCAGCATTGCTTTAATAACAGGACAGTCAAATAAATCTACTTGTAGACAATACTCTGATCAGCCACAACATTAAAACCACCTGCTTAATATTATGCTCACTCCGACAATCTCTGGCCAGACATCCTCAAACTGTAATGCACTGTGTGTTCTAACACTTTTTTTAACACTGGCCTGCATTAAGCTTTTCATCAATTTAAGCTACAGTAGCTTTTTTGTGTGCTCCCTTTGCACCCATGTGCCTTGGATACCAGTTATCCTTCCTTGCACTACTTTTGGTAGGTACTAACCACAGTACATTGGGAACATCCCAGAAGTCTTGCTGTGTTGCAGATGCTCTGACACAATCATCTAGTCATCAGTATTTGGCCCTTGTCAAAGTCACTCAGATCTTTTTGTTTGCCCATTTTTCCTTCTTCCTACAAATAATAAAAACTGATTGTTCACTTGCTGCCTAATATATCCCATCCCTTGACAGGTGCCATCGTAATGATATAATCAATATTATTCACTTTACCTGTCAGAGGTTCTAAAGTTGTGGCTGATCAGTGTAAGTGACTGTCTTGGCATGCTCATTCTTTGAATATCACAACATGCAAAATATGCAATCCACAATTTCCAGTTAAACACTGATAATGACAGCTCTGGGAAAGGAGCTGCCATTATCAGCCATTTACTAAGAAAACCCCAGCATTTAAAAACTCACAGATCTCATTGTACGTTGAAAAAATACACACAAAGCATTAGTTCTATGTGACTGCATTCCAAGCCTCCTTTCTTACGTATTGTAAATGGTAATGTAAACGGAGACTTTGAGTTTTGAAAAGTACCTGTCCCTCAACTTTTTGTGTACCAAGTGCATTCTTCCTATAAAAAGTGGATTAATCTCCTAATCGCGATATAAACAATATAACTCTACATAAACATGATAAACAATGATTTGTTTATTATTTATATGTCTCTCCTATATTCACTCAATGTAAGGGAGGCTTAAATGAAGACAGTGCTGCCTACAAAA